AGAACATTTGTCTTCTTTTGATTGTGTGGGAGACTTCTCAGGTTCTCTTTGTCTGAGCAATGGCTGCTTTTGTGCATGAGCTTTTTGCACTCATCGGCACCCTGGAGGAACATATATCCACTTATCCACCTTTCTTTTGAGTTTTAAACCTGAAAAATAAAATGTGGTTTTTTGTTTATCAGTTCGAGATTGAATGGAACCACCCTTTCCTTGATTTGCATAAATTTGTAGGACAAAGGCGGAACTTTTTGAGTCTGGTGAGGTTTGATATCGTTTTCCTAGCTCCAATTTAAGACAAAGGTGGCCTTCTTTGAAGCAAGCTTTTGGCTTTTGGTGAAATACGGTTGGATGGACTTGTTACTGTGAATAGGGGGATAAATGATAGCATAATCCCTCCGAATTTGTTAAATACTGGGTTCACTGAATTCTGATAGACCAGTCTTGCTTTAATCTTTCCTAGGGCCTGTTGAACAGCAATTTGGTGCGTGCTTATGAAATGAAACAGGCTAAGGGATCCATGTATTTCCTGGAGTTGGTCCTGATGTTCTGCAACCACGTGGAAGCAGCCCTAACAGAGCTGGCTCTTACTTTGTATTCTCTGCTACATAACTCAAGGCAGTGTGCTTCTATCTCACTTGTTCTCTTGTGCTCAATTTTTACTCATGTTGTTTATTTGTTGATTTGTAAAAGGGAACTCCCGGATGTAGACTATGAATCAATGTTTGAGCACTATACAAAGATCAAAGGAAGTGCAACAAGGTAAGACAACGTTCCGGTTCATGTGGCTATGCAACAATCTTAAAATTGTTCTTTCACCTGTTATGAAGGTGAATATGGGCTATTAATGGCTTTTTGATGTAAGATACCTTCGCAGCTGCAACGTATATAGGTTAACTGTGGCGTTTCTTGGGAAAAAAAAGGAGCTTGATTACTTGTATCTGGTCTATAGCAGAGAATATGAATGATTAATGGCTTTTAATTAAACGCAAGGTCTTTTGCTGCGGTAATGTACATAAGATTCACATGGTGTTTCCGTGAAATTCTGGTGCCCGATTACTTATATTGTCTTCTTTATAGTTTTGTTTGCCAAATGTTTACCTTCCTAAAATGTTGGGAGCGCGTTATTTTGTGTTTTTAAACATCCAATTAATTCTCAGATAAAGTTTTGCGCATCTTGTATTTATTTGGTCTCAAATTAGAATGCAAGTTACATTACCTCTTCAAATATTGCCGGTCATTGCTGTTAGGCGTTACGTGGCATATTTGCTAGAAAATTGGAGGCTGCTCATTTTAGGTGGCTGATTTCGCTGTTTGGTGTCATATATTAACTTTTGTGACATTGGAAGGTTCTTTGTTAGCACGTCCAATGCAACATTTTTCTCTTGAACATACTGATAGGAATTACTAGAGTTCAAGGAAGATGAAGAATATTACCCTTGCATCCCCAATAAAAGACTTTTCGTGTTAAAGTTAAATTAGATAACATGTTGTTTGTCATAAAGCAATCTCTGTAAGGATTTAATGTCTTAAATGATGTCAACCTTCACCTCAAAAGTTCAAATCTAAAACTTATTTAGCTGCATTACCGCTAACATCTCACATGTCAGGATCAAGAGAGGAAGTGATTGCTTTGCTGTATTACCTCGTCACCAGTTTAGTGTTGTCAATTGTGTTTTTCCGCTTGAGTTGTCCAAACAATCTGATTAATGTCATGTCATATCGGTTAATCTTCTCATACTATCCTGCTCGATTATCTCATAGCGATACCCAATCATAGCAATGACATTAATCTTAGGTCCACTAATGTTTGTTAAACGGGTGTTCCAGAATTGGTGCTTGTGCACTGGGGCTTGCCGTTGAAGATTTGCGTGATGCCATTCGCACTGCCTCTAGGGACAGGTAAGTAGATACTCCCTTTCTACATGCAAAGGACAACCAAATTCCATTGATATCTTAAAACTGTTGTGACACTCAACAGCTGCTTCTTTTACTTTAACGGGCGAGAAATTAGCATCTCCGGTAGGAATATTTAGGAGATCTGACAGTCGGGTGACAGTGGGAATTAGGAAAGGGAAATGCCTTTGCTGAGTGACTAGTATCTGCGAAAACATCTCTGTTAGTGACCAAAGAAGGAAATATTGGCATGCTCACTTATGTTGGATATCTCAATAATGATGTTTAATGACTTCCCCAGATGCACATTATGCGGGTGTAACATGGCAGTGCTTCGCATGCGACAGGAGTACCAACTTCTGCGTCCGCACATGAACACCATCGTTGAGGTAACTTAAAGCGAAGTTTTTTTGAGAAAACATCAGAGGTGTAATGAATTTATGGATGTCCATCATGTATATGCGGGAAACTGCCTTAACCACGTAATAATGTTAGGTAATTGCTCGTACAGAGTCTGACAGGGTTGAATCGAGACCTTGGTAGTCATTAAGAATCCGAAGCATTTCAGGTCTATTCTCTCGGTTCACGTGTATTTAAATCCTAAAACGGACTTCGCCTATTCACGTCGAAAACTTGGAAATTTGATTGAGCTTCAAGTGTGTGACCCTTTGTGATTGACAGAAATCTGCTCTCTAGCGAGTTGTGAAAAAAGCTTACCAAATCTCTGTTCTTTTTTCTTTTGCTAGTAAGAGCATTATTGAATATTCCACAGCATCAACTCGGATGGGCTTAAAGTTCTGAGGTCATGGGGCACAAAGAGAAACAAAATATAGAGCTCGACTTTTATATATATATATAAGTCGTTTCGGCATGAACTTTGCCATGTATATCTTATATTTGGAGAATTCTCATATGCAACTCGAGCGCAGGATTATCCACATCTAGGATAACCAGCTAGGACTTGGGAACAACTGAAATTGGGCGACCAGTGTTGGATCAAAGCCTGCCACCTTATATGTCATGAAGTAAACTCCATCGTTGACTGTTTGAGTCTAAATAAAAATTGGTATGGTCTCGTGTTGTGTCTATTTATCTAAGCTTGTCTTGATATGTTAGTCGTGTCGTTTCGTGTCATGAGAGTCTAATATGCTCTTTGTTGGTATGACTACTTACATCCAAGGTTCATCCAATAATGAAGAAAACCCTATGGTTCGACATGTTGATGTTGCATTTCTGAAGGTAATCTATTGCGTTAGCTAGATTATAATGTTCAAAGTATTGATGCCAACGCTTTGTTCCCTCTGGACAATCTTTCTAGTTTTCGTTTTCCGCTAAGAATTTCCTGGGAAACTTCTCTTTGCATTAATGGAATCGCGTGGCATACCGAGTTTCACTATCTAAAGTTTCAAATTCTTCGTAAAATTTTTGTCTCGACGATTTTTCGGGTGTTTCAAATAGGCAAACGTTCTTCAAATGTAGGAAATCTTTTTATGAAGTATCTCTAATTGACTAGCGAACATTTTTCAGAAGCAGCTTTCGTTTTCACTACAAACGAAAACGAGAAACTATCACCTTTGTTTTCAAAACGAACTTGACAGTCCTAGTCCCTACCTACCACAGTAATCGAAGAACTCATTAGTAATCAAATGTAAATGCTTCAGAAAGAATTAACTATCACTTCAATTGAGTCTCCACACAATCAACATGCACATTTCATCGTGCATATTTTGGTATTAAATCTCTAACCGATGTACAAGAAACGACAAAGCTGTGCACATTTTGATAATAATTGAAATCATAGCAAATCTCTAATTTTTACGCATATCTTACTAATTTCGGGGTAATCTTTGCGCCACCATGAGAGTAAAGACAGGTTGTGAGCCACAAATTCTTGAAGGGGTGGACTCCATAACAATTTCTAATTATTTGTTATTTAATTTTTTGTAGTCCAGAACAAGCTGTTAACCTCGCTATGGATTAAGGACAATCACATAAACATTTCTCCTAATCTTGATGTATATTTTGGTAATAAAATCCTAGCAATTTAATTTTCATTGTCACTTTAGAAATTCTATAATCCTAGCAAATCTGTACCTCATATGTATATTTTAATAATAAATCTCCAAGCAATGTACACGAAATAAAGAATGATCGATAAGTTTCTAAGTGAGAATTTTTAATCATTCCAAGAAGTTTATTAAATAAACAAATAAGGTTTAGAAATTTGTGTTACATTGACAACACATATTTCAAATATAAATATGTATATGCAATTGCTTATGTAGTAGATAGTGATATATGCAGTAGATCTTTTGTGATAATTAACTTTCAAAGATCTAAATTTTTTACAATAAGTTGGATGATGCATTTATAGTAGAATTATTTTTCAAATTTAATGTTGAAAATACATGGTTGTAGCTTTATAAAATTATTGCTTAGTCCACCGTCGGTTTCAAAAGGTACTTACACCTTCACTGTTGGATGATTGACATATCCATTTAAAGTTGGTTTTGTGATAAATAAGTCGACATATCAATCATCCAACAGTAAATGTGTAAATACATGTTAAACTGGCAGTGGACCTAATATGAATTTATATTACTTCGTGCACAATTGTCTGGAAATTTTATCACAATTGTAGCATCAACAACGCAGTATAGATACTTAACAAAATATCAAACATAAGATTTTATTCATTGGTTTAATATATAGGACCCATATACTTAATGGCGGGAAAATATAACTAAATGCTAACTAGAAATAAGTCTCAACAAATTCGACATTGATGAGAGCAAATATATTCAGAATAAAATGTAATTTTCTAAAATCTTGGATTTTGTACAAATTAACTGAATTTTTGAAAGATGAATATTTCAATTGATTTTTCAAGAGACCAAAAAATATACTCTTCGATCTGTGCAACAAACAGACATCTCTCTAATTTAAATGTACATGCATCTTGACCAAGCTGCTAGAGAACTTAGGATAGCAGGCATGAATAACAAAAGTCTTTAATAGAATATCTAAAACGCCTCGAAATAGATATTTTCATGGGAAATCAATAGACTATACTTAGAAATTATTGCAAAAATAAGCATCAACACAAATTGGTTGAACTGCAGCATTAATTGACATCACTTACCTCTTCAGACATTATTTCTGTACTTGGCCTGGTCTTGATCTGGAATTACAATGACAATAGATCATTATGCAATCACACCGAATCAGGGCAACAAAGTGGGGACCAAGGACTATTTCCGTGGAATCCATCTTCTAAATCCATAACAAGGTGTCCATACAAATTTATTATTGCCATCTTAACATGTTTAAAAGCACAACACATACACCACATTTGATATAGAATCCATTATCGAAGAAGTGCCCCGCGGAAACAGCTCCGTCTTCTTTCTCTCACCTTCACTGATTAGACAGCAGCAGTAGCTTCAGCAGGCTTTGCTTCAGGTTCTGCCGGTGCTTCGGCATCCCAAAATGTGGTCTTCTTCCCAGTCTTTGACACAGTCTTTAGAACTGCATCGGGTTGGACATTGCCTTTCACCGTCACCTTCTGCTCCTTCATATCAATGTCGAAGGACTCCACACCTGAAATTGGTTCAGGGGCGAACAGAAAAGGGCAAAAAAAAAAAGACACCAGTTAATCTTCCACCGTTGGAACATGTCTTCCGAGGATGCCCTGTTTTTTCCTTTTCTATTCACTTCTAAGGAAAGAAAAATATATTAGGGGTGATAAAGGTAAAATCAAAATTGCAGCACTGAATCTCTTTAGGAGAATGAGTATATGTATTTATCTCTATACATTTGATGAAACAATTTCAAATGCCCAGAACCTAAAAGGATGATATCTCTTCTGAGGTAATTCATAGAGAATGAAGTAGACCAATCAAAAGGCAAAATAAATCCACCTATCGTGATAAAAGAATTCGAAGCCTCAACACCAGGACATAGACAAGTTTAAATACCGCTAACAAAAGATATAATTTCAAATAAGAACGTTGTAGAACAGCAGCAGACCTTCCATTTTCCCGAGAACCCTCTTCACTGCACCAGAGCAGCCCTCACAGGACATACCAACTTTGAGGACAACAGTCTGCAGAAAAAGCATACAGATTTTTACTAGATTGAAGAAATGAAGTAACATGACAATTGTCTCCTAGCTATGCCAAAATCAAGTTAATATCGTGAGTTCAACATTCAGCAAATGAGCAAGGATCTAATACTGAGATAAAACGCCCACAAAATATCCAATTATGCACGTCTTAATGCAATAAGTAAAGTCTTTCAACCAAAAAATAGAAAACAATAAGTAAAGTCGAAGCTGCTCACATATAGCTGGGCAAACCACTTATAGAGCTCCTTAGGTCATTGCATGAGAGGGTTCGAGAGAGATACCACCTTGGCTGAGTATTTTTTATTATTGATTTCTATATCAAGCAACTAATTAGCTATAAAGGACTTAATATGTTCTAGCCCAGGTTGAAGCAGCTACAAGTTACTTTATATAACTGCATGTACTCCACATGCTTTCAGAAACCATCTCAACAACATTTGACTCGAAGTTCTATATTAAGATAAAGTTGAATCACCAACTAAAACTAAAATGACTGCAATCACTCGTCGACTAGAAAAAGGAAAAGCAAGACCTTGCTTCTACTACTAGTACTGCACCTTTGTGACATAACATAACAAGGGTTACCGCTCTTTGTAGCTTAAAAAAGTCTCTTTTATTTCTTACGTATCACAGAAGCAGTCGTGCCAAATGCCTTCCATCACTAACCTCGGAATCATAGACGAGGAAACATTTCTACCCAAAGCCGATTCGCTACTAATCCAGACACATCGCAGCCTCCCCAAACATCAACCAATGATACAATGGCACAAAAGTCACAAATTAAACTTCAATCTCGGATATCTTGAAAATGGACATGATACATCACATTAATAAGAAAATCATTACAACCGGCACGACATTACATAGCTAATCTCGCATTTCCACTTGAAAGTAACTCAACACGACCGAGGCAAGTAACATGAAGTAATTAACAAGTTCTGCATCGACGGATTTCTATAATTGCATTAACCGAATTCCTCACCGACCCTCCATTTGCTTCTCCAACCAAAACAGACAGATCATACCAAATGGAACCACAAACGGTCCACGAACTCAGCTTTCGCCGAACTTTCCCAGAATCGAGATCCAAGGCACCATCATTACTCCCGAAGGAGGAAAACCCAATTGACCAATTCGTACACAAGCCAGAGCGCACCAAACATTCAACTCTCACCCACAACCAAAATCACAACAAATCTCAGTGAAGAAAGAACAAGAATTGCTCAAACAGAAGCCCCCCCCAATCAAGAATCCAACACAGGCCCCCCCGTAAAAGGAAAAAAAAAAACAAAAAAAAACAGGGGATATGAGCAGAACAATCTCGAACCCAATAAAGATCGAGAACCACTTTGACCCATGAACGAATGACGAAAAGGGCTTAAGAGCAACAACGGAGCAAAGCTTCTTCACCTGAGACATGGTGAATCGGGTTTCTAAGAATAGCGGAGGAGGAAGCGACGGAAGAAAGCCGGAGAAGGGCGATTGCCAGATGGTCAGCGCGAGGTGATCTTGAATTCTTTGATCGTGTGTGCTTATATACAGGGGAGGAAGTTCGTATTTTGCTTTTCAAATTTTTTGGGGGTTTAAAAATAAATAAAATAAACAATTTCCTTTCGTGTTTTATTTATGTTCCGTTGTCGTTCCGTAAAAGTTAAGTAAGCATTTGTTTTTTTTTTTGTTTTTTTCCTTTTGTTCTTTCGAACTTTTCCTTCTTCATTTAGTGCAAAAGAAATGGAGAATCCTCCTCGATTTTGTCTTACGAAATATGATTCACATTAGGGGTGAGCAACTTGAACGGCCCAAGCCGGGATCGAACCGGACAGACGGGTTTGGTCTGGTTCTCGGGACTATCGATCCGGTTCCCGGTTCCTAAAAGCGGAACCGGTTTCTGGGCGATCCGATTCCCGGTTCCAAGGGGGAACCGGACCGGACCGGACCGACTATTTAATATATATTTTTATTATTTTTTTCTTTAAAAAAATTAATAAAATGTGAACTAAACTTTAAGTGAACTTCATTATCATAAATTCATTGATAAAAATTAGTAAAATGTGAATTAAACCTTAAGTGAACTTCATTGACAAAAAATAGTAAAATGTGAACCAAACCTTAAGTGTTTAACCAAAAAAAAAAACTAAACTCTAAATGATCGGTTCCATTAGACCGGACCGGCAGTCCAGTCCGGTTCCCGGTCCTAGAACCAACCGGTCCGGTCCCCGGTTCCCAAAATTGGGAACCGGTTCTCTCGGTTCGATTCCCGGTTCCACCTTGGAACCGGACCGGACCGGAAACTGATCACCCCTAATTTACATTCACCTTCACACGAGTCTTTCGTGGAAAAATAAATTTCTAGACTCATTTAAAGCATTTTCGTAATTTTTTTAAAGTTTAAATTTTTCTCTTTTCAAAATCTCGGCGTGAAAAATTGACAGTTCAATTCCTAGATAATTAAATTTTAGAAGCATTAAAAATTATTACAGTCGAGAAAAAATTTAACTTTCTTGATAAATGAATTAAGTAATGGAGAGATTATAACAAAATAATAGTGGAGCTTACATCTCATTTTTCATTAGAGAGCAAAATTCCTGCTTTAAAAAAAAATAATTACAACAATTTTTTGTTCTCGAGATAAACGAACTTATCCATAATTATGCGAACGGTTTCATCAAAAGAACAGAAAATCTAATTACATACCGGCCTCTAAATTATCTCTAATCATATGCTTCCTCAGGCACAAGAAGTTAATCGTATCACCATGCTAAATTTTTCTTTTTTTTTTTGGCATTCACTTATAAGATTTCTAAGTCTAATTAGAATGACACGGCCTTCAAGTTTCGCCTGCCCAAACGTTGCTGTGGCCCAGCTCAAGTCATTTGGGCTCACTCTCCTTTATATTCAATTTTTCACTTGAATATATATATATATATATATATATATATATATATATATATATATATGCCACACAATTTCCTGAGCAAAACTACCCAAAAAAGTCATAAATTTTTTTTCCAACTGTGAGCTAGTGAGGTCACCTGTCAACCCTCCACGGCCACAAGCGAGGGGCTCACAGCCCTTGCTAGGATCTGGGCAAGGGCCCAACACCCTCGCTTGGATCTTAGCAAGGGCAAGAAGGCCCTCGCAGCCGTGGCACCCTTGCTTGAGTTGGAAAAGAATAAACAAAAATAAAATAATAAAAATTTACAATTTTTTTAAAATTATAAAAATTGTTCACATCAACGCCGACCGTGCCACGAAAAATGGCTAGAGTTTATGTCAATGATTTCTAGCCGACATTGGCAAATCATTAAAGATTTAGGACCAAATTGGCCAAATTGAAAGGTTTATGACTGAATTGGCCGCATTATAACAGGTTTAGAAATATTTGGTAATTTCCCCCTAATTTCTTGAGCTCCTCCGAGCCTTGCCAATGCATCCGCACATCCATTCGCTTCTCTAGAAACATGCTCAATCTTGTAAGCCTGCAACCTTGGGAGCAAGCTCTTGCATTCAATAGGGAAAAGTATCAAAAAAGTCCTTAATTTATTACATTGGTACCAATTTAGGCAGGAAATCGTTAACGTGGTCACCGGCCATCCTATGTGGCACGGCCGCTACTGGTGTGGACATCTTTTATATTATTTTTATTATTTTTATTTTGTTTTCCTTTCCCATTTGTTTTTGCCACTGGCCTCTCGCCGGCCATAGGCCATGGCCAAGATGGGCTAGTCTCGCTTAGGCGAGGGTTAGGGGAGAGCATCGACCCAGGATTGACCCTCGGCCGGCCCAATCTGCCCACTTTGGCCAATTCCCAGGGGGATTGGGCCGATCCCTAGTCCCGGGACTGTTGGAACTTGTACTGTAAAGGTTGGTCCTTAGTTAGGGTTGGTCCAACCTGAACCAATCCTATAAAAAAATTTTCCAAACCCTAGGTATATAACGTAAAGTGCCCAACGCCTCCTCTTCTTTCACCCTTTTCCTCTCCCTCTCCTTGAGTCTCACTCTCACTCTCACTCTCACTCTCTCCTTCAATCTCAAATTCTTCTCTCTCTCTCTCTCTCTCTCTCTCTCTCTCTCTCTCTCTAGTAATGACTCCTTCCCTCTCTCTCCCTGCTCGTTTATCTTCACCAGTGCCAATCATCAACAACAAAGACTCCAAGATCTCAGGAATTTAGTTTGATCATCGTTCACAATCAACATTTGCATATCAAAGGCAAGTACCTCCATACTCGGTTCTAAGAAAAATATAGGCCAAGAATCTTAACTTGAATGGCCACATTCATTTTGCATCTTCATTGATAATCATAGTAACAATTTCTTTTTGTTAATGTTTGATGCTTCAACATAAATACCAACATATATCTTAATATTTGAAAAAACAATAACAAAATCTGTAATATCATAATCTCCCTTTTCATGCTTGAAACAAAGATGATAAATTTGTGGACATAATCGTGTGGCATTATGGGATCTTAATTCAACTCACATAGACGAATTTGGCAATGTCACGTATTATTGATCGTTAAGTAAAGAACAATCACATTTTTATTCTAATTTCAATGGCTCTGAAATTTCAAAGAATAGGTTTGTCCTTTCAAGGAATACTAAAAATGAAATAAATAAAGAATTGATTGGTCTCGAGTTGACCTTAGAACCAGACCGAACCCATAAGGTATGTCCGGTCCTCGGTTCCAAGCTCAACAGAGTTGGTCTCTGGTCCTAAAAATTGGGGATCAACATTGTGCGGGATGGTCCTTGGGTTAAATGCTGGACCGTTCCAACTCGAACCATGCTCACCCCTGGCGAGGGTCACCCTTGCCGCCCATAGGCGAGAGTCGGCCTCGCTGGGCCACACCTAGGCGAGGGCGACTGCTGGTGAGGCCAACCCTCGCCCAAGCCGGGGCAGCCTCGCCACAGCTCGCCTGGGCGAGGGACAGAGAGGCAGAGTGCTTGAGTAGAGAATGGAGGAACAGAGTTTGGAGACAAGGAAGCAAAGGCACAAGCGACATTTCTCGTTAAGGTCTCTGCTCTGTGCAAAAATCTGCTTCGAAACTTCAAAGCTTTTTTTATCAATTCTCAAACATGAATAGAGAGAAGCAACATTTTGTTGTCCCAAGCAGCAAAGCAGAGCGAAGCTCACTCAACGCCAGATCTGGAGAGGGGGGCCTCGCCCTCGCTCAGGCGAGGCACGGGGAGGCACAGCAAGGGAGGCCTCATTGTTGCTTGCCCTCGCCTAGGCGCGGCTCGGCGAGGCTAACCCTCGTCTGTGGCCGATGGCCAGTGAGAGGCCACTAGCAAAAACAAAAGGGAAAGGAAAAAAAGGAAAAGAAGAAGAAGAAGAAAAAGTATTAAAATATATATAAATGTCCACGTCAGCGCCGACTATACCACGTAGGATGGCCAGCATCCACGTCAGCAATTTCCAGCCTAAATTGGCCGCATGGACTGAATCGGTACTAATGTGAAAAATGTTTAAGACTAAATTGGTCCAATTGAAAAGTTTAAGACTGAATTGGTATCAATATAATAAGTTTGAGACTTTTTTTTGTACTTTTCCCGCATTCAACAGGAAGAGGTTGTTGCATCAGAAGATGATGCTGTTTGGTCTCTGTGAAGCTTGAATAAACAATCTGGTCACAAACAGGCACTGGCGTGTATTCACTGGGAATGGCTTCATTGAATGTTTTAATACCTCAAGTTTTTATTCTCATCTTGTCAGTGATGGATCTAAACAGCCGATGGTATGTGCTTCGATAACCTCTAATTATACACAACTTAATCGATTTTTTTTTCAAGTAATAAATCACTCGATGCGGTAAGCAAGAAGGATTAAGTTTATAAGATATTCGATTGAAATTTTTTAAAAAAAATTGCTAATTATATCGTCAAAATCTTTCAATGATGCTCACTATTCCATTTTGGTAAGAAATAACTCTTTATTTTAATTTTCAGTAATTATATACTTCAGCACCTGATATTCAGTGCTTAAATTTTCAATGCTTATGTTTTAGTTTTATCAAATAAGCTCGTGTAACCAAAATTCTATAGATCACACATCTATCTATGTTTATACATATTGTTTTACTTTTACCAAGTAGCTAAATACTCATATAAACGTGGAGAATGTGATGACATGCATAAACAAAAGTTACTCGATCTACGTAACAAAAATTAGTCTTGCTTATAGAATGATATATAAATAACTGTAGTTCATAATTTTTAGTAAGGAAATAACTATTCGTATCTATGGTGCGAACAAAAGTCAAACAATTTGCGCAGTTAAAACTAATCCCACTACATATTTGTTGACACCTATTTTAATTTGCCCAAAATTAATTGCACAAAATTTAGGAGTTAATTTTATTTAATTCCTAAAACAAAAAAATATTTCTATTTAAATGCATTGCATATAGAAATTAGGCACATTTGTATTAATAGGGTCTATTAGAACTTAAAAAAAAATCAAATTTTAAAAAAAAATTTCGAGTTGGGCCGAGTCGACCCAACCCTTTTCTTTTCTTTTCTTTTCTCCCCCCCCCCCCAGGGCCCAATCGCCTTTCTTTTTTTTTTTTT